ATTATTACTATTAGCTTTATAACAACAGAATTGCATGAATTTTTACTTGACACCTATTTAAGCTAGAACTGCAAGAAGAATCAGCTCTGTGTCTGCTGAGAATTTGTTCTATTTAACCACAGAAAAATTTGGGGGTATCATTTGTCAAATTTGTACAAGCCTGAACAATGCATAGGGAATGACCCATATGGAAATTATTGTGTGTATAACTTAAGATGTGATCTTTGTTTGGTTTCCATTATTCTCAGATTAGATTGAGGAAAGAGGACGTGCTACTTTGAATACATAAGCAGGACTGAAAACTCCCTTAAAGATGTCACTCATGGGGGTGTTGAATATCACTTAAGCTCATGCAGATATCATTTTGATTAAGCCAGAGGGATTTAGTTTATTAGCTCATATTGCCTTGGAGTTTCAGAGGAAACATAAACGTGATGTCTAAGATAGCACTGTGATGGCAAGACCCAATCCTTCTTTTTTATGATAATAAAAAAGCAGCAGATTATTCTCATCAGAATTCCTTAAACCTTGCTGAATCTTTGGCTGAGACAGATCTTAAAATATTTTCTTTTGAAAAAGCAAAGTTTATCCAAGGTGGTAAAAGAGGATTTGTATTAAAAGGCTCACACAAAGTTAAAGAGAGCTGTCACTGCTCTTGTCTACCACCAGCAGTTACAGCCCTGGAACACCAGCAGTGCAGAACCTCAGAAAAGCAGCATATATACACAACCACTGGCTTTTCCTCTCAGGATTTTTCAGTGCTATAATTAATTAGATTAGTTTTTCTTAACTACAAAGATAGTCTGAGAGGAATCATTGCCTTGGAAAGCTCCATACAAAGTATATCCTAAATAATAACAAGTTTTGTCCATAGGCTGGGAGATGCTTCACGATGGATAAAGACATCCAGCATCCCAGGGGGATCCTGTCTAATCAAACCATCTCTAACATTAGCTATTCCCAATTTTTGAACTTTGATACATGCCAGCTTTCTCTCCTTGCAGAATGCTTGCTCATTACAGCCTACACTTTAGTTACAATAGTGGGGCTTTTTGGAAATCTTTGCTTGATGATTATCATAAAGAGACGGAAAGAAACTCAAAACGTGACCAACATTTTGATTGCCAACCTCTCTTTATCAGACGTCTTGATCTGTATCCTGTGTATCCCTGTCACAGTGGCATATACCTTAATGGACTACTGGGTATTTGGGGAAGCCATGTGCAGAATCAGTTCTTTCATACAAAGTGTATCTGTCACAGTCTCCATTTTCTCACTGGTACTAATTGCTATTGAGAGATACCAGCTGATTGTGAACCCACGTGGCTGGAAACCCAGTATTTCACACGCTCACTGGGGAATCCTTTTCATCTGGGGCTTTTCCCTCATGATATCTACTCCTTTTTTAATATTTCACCAATTAACAGATGAACCCTTCAAACATCTGTCTTTCCATAGTGATCTCTACAAGAACAAGGTTGCTTGCATCGAAGCCTGGCCATCCGTTACCCAGAGACTCATTTTCACCACCAGTCTGCTGGTTTTCCAGTACTTCTTCCCTCTGGGGTTTATCTTTATCTGCTATCTCAGGATCTTTGTATGTCTTAGAAAGAGACATGGTAAAATAGACAGGATGAGAGAGAATGAGAGCAGACTGAGTGAAAACAAAAGGATTAATATGATGCTGGTATCAATTGTTGTGACATTTGCAGCCTGCTGGTTGCCTCTCAATATATTCAATGTTGTTTTTGACTGGAACTACGAGGCACTAATGAGCTGTAATCATAATCTAGCATTTACAATATGCCACCTTGTCGCCATGATCTCAACATGTATCAATCCCATCTTCTATGGGTTTCTCAACAAGAATTTTCAGAAGGACTTAATAGTGTTGGCTCACCGCTGCAGGTGCTCAGCCTCCCAAGAGGAGTATGAAAATATTGCCCTGTCAAACCTGCAAACTGAGGCATCTAAGGGGTCTCTGAGATTAAATAATCCCCCTGTGGATACCTAAAATAATCCAAAAGCAGTTTCCAAAACTTTGTATGTTATTGCAGATGACCTCTTCTTGCAGATCTTGATCATATTACTGCTGATTTTAGAGTTGGGATTTATTTATTTATTTAAGGAGCACTAATACAGGCTCAATTTGATGTACTGCAAATCCCACTCAAACTGCTTCTGTTCTAGATGAAATATGTATTTACTATTTCTCCAAAAAGCACTGTATTCTACTCCAAACCACCAGTATAGATCATTGCTTTCTCTGTTACCATCATCATTGGTCCTTAAAACAGACCTTTTAGAATCTCTATTATCAAACAAGCACACTACGAATTCAGAGTATATTGTTGGTTTTTTTAGCTACTTATCCAGATTACAGGTTTGGGTAGAAAATTACTTGTGTATTTTAATTTTAGAAATACCTTTCTCCACATTCCTGCACCAGCAAGAGGCCACACTTGAGGCAGACATGCTTGAAAATAGTGTCTGTGATGCAGTGGATAGAGGTGCAGAACTGACCACAACTTCCCTCAAACTAAAACACATGAAAAGCCTGATCCAGTTTGGTACAAAACACAACAGAACACATTCTTTATCCATGCTATGATGCCACCATTGATATTCAATTGATATTGGCCTGTTTAAATATAATACTTAGACCATTTCCTCCAACAACTCAGCACCTTAGAAGTAAACTTAACTTCTTTGTTCAAGTTAAATATAACTAATAACCTGCATTGCTGAAGCCTCTCTTTTTTTTTTTTTTCTTTTTTTTGTGAGTGCCAAGAACTAGCCTGGTTGTAATACTTGTACATAAAATTCCATGTAATTTATTCTCTAACTTTAGCAATCTACTGATGCCCCACTTAAGCAAAAACAATTAACATTCAGATTACAATCAGCTCCTTGATGATTCAGCTATGATGAAATTTACCTGAAGGCTATAAAATTCTCCTGGATAGGGACCTTCATCTTCTGTAATCATAACAGTTCTGAAACGATTCCATCAGGCCATAGTTTTCTTCTTCTGTTGCTGCAGCATTAGTGCCAACTGTCTGCATCACCCTGCTCATCAGAGGAGCTCTGTGAGAAGAGCCTCAGGAGCTCTTGCAGACACGCTGGATTGTCAAGTGCTTCCTGCTGCAATGTACTCTGATTAAATAATATGGACATGACAGTTCAGATTACACTCAGTTCCCATCATGCAAAAACCTCAGACAGTATTTAGTGTCTGAATCAGGCCCAGCTGAGATTCCTATCTGTGGACTTGGCCTAGGTGGCTCCCATACCAGAATTCCCATCCCATAGGTATGCCCAAGTGTGCTTAGTTTTACAGCAGAGATGTTTTTATTATCAGATCCCAAGTGGTTTAAATACAGCCACAAAATGAACACTATTCTAAATTATGTGGTCAGTGGACCAGCAGAAACTCTTCTGACCGTAGCAGAAGGCCAGGGATGCTGATGGATGATCTTCTTTTACTGTCTCTCCCTACAAGTGTTTGGGCAGTCTCCTTCTGTGGCATTAAACATAAACAAAAAAAACAACCAAACAAACAAAAAAAGCACCAAAAATATTCATCTGTTTTCAAACTGCCCAGCAGAAACTCTTCTGACCGTAGCAGAAGGCCAGGGATGCTGATGGATGATCTTCTTTTACTGTCTCTCCCTACAAGTGTTTGGGCAGTCTCCTTCTGTGGCATTAAACATAAACAAAAAAAAACAACCAAACAAACAAAAAAAGCACCAAAACTGCTACTGCTTTTTGTAACACCAATTGTCTACTCCTGACATCCTGATCAGAGATCATTTTTTCCAGTCTGAATCTTGGCATCCGAGGGTTCCTTGTTACCAAGTGGAAGCTCTCTGAGCAGTGAGACTGCTTCAGAATCCCCTGTGAATAATAACACTCATGCCTTGAGTTCTACTTGTCATTTCTTCCCTACATTTTCATTTCAGTCAAGTGCTGATGCTCCATTTCTCAGCATCCAGTTATCAAGAATGTCTTTTCTTAGTGCTGCACTTTAAAAAATCACTGCTAACCACAGTATCATCACTGCCTTGAAGACATCACCATTCACCCTGCACATTCTCCCATCACATCCACTGGCTTTATATGCAGTCTGATCCCTACTTTCCAGATAAGTCAATAGTAATGACCTGACTTTGATAGGCATATGAACAAAGTTAAGTTACTTATTTTTAATACGTAAGCATTATGGGCTCCAATGTGGTGTGTGATGGTGATGTATGTAAGTGTGCAACATGCAATGCCTAAAGATTGCTCAAGTTGTACCATTAAACTGACAAATGTTGCTGTGTCTCAGGTAATGCTGGCATCTTCATCCTCCCTTGTTTTTACTGCTATAGCAAGTAGACAAAATTGTAACAGAATGTTAAGCTGTTACTTGATGCAACCTGATGGAGGACTGTGAGAGTCCTTGGGGAAGCAGAAACATGGAATTCAATATGGAAAGCTAGAGGGGGAGCCTGAACTCCAGAATGTTGTTCCAATGTACAAACAAAGTCTAAGCAGTGTCACTTGTGGAGTTTGCTGTTGTTTTTTTAAAGAAAAACAACAAACAAAACAAAAGAAACCCAAAAAAACCCCTGCACGAGAGCTTGTTCAAGTGGTTTGGTCACGTAAACCAGAGCAAGATATTTATAAATGTCCCTATAAATGAATACAACCTTACATGTACTTGTATTTTATGGTTGATAGGTTTAACTGTAAGCACATGTGACTAGAGTTAGATGCTTGAATATTGGCATTTGTTCTGAAAATGATTTTGTTGAACAGAAAGCTCCGCTGATTATTGACTGCGGTTCTGTACGTGTACAAAAGCAGTGCCACTGCTGTGTGTTATTTAAATAACTTGATTCTTCCTGTCTCCTGACAAATAAATACTACCTTGTATAAAACTGCTACATTGCCCAATGGGTATATTTTACTGCCTAGAATCTTGGTCAGACAATTCTCATACAAACAATTCTGGAAGCTGGTTTAGCATTTCACATGTTCAGTTATTAGGAAAACAGAGATCAGGGAAAAAATAGATATTTGCTGTTTCCAGAAGGGATAAGGACTTAAAAAACAGCTAGAGAACCTTCTTAGGACTCATGGTGCTGACATAGCTTTTGGTTGAGAAGAACAATGTCATAAAGTAGGGAGGTTTCAAGTGACTTTATGTCTCAAGGGCAGAACAACCTTTTACTGTGGTAAAATGGCATGAATGGGATTTAAAAACACTTATGACACTTTTTCCATGTTGAAATTACCTATGGAGCACAGTAAAAATGAAGTAAAAAGATGACCAAACACCACCACTGAGAAAGAGGTCTCTTAACCAAAACATGATCTTAGTCTAACTATGGCAAGTCCTCTGAGCCCTGCACCTCCTTTCCCAACTTGCTCTTCCTGTTCCCCACACAGGGATGTGTTGGTCAGGCTGTTTTACAAGATGCAGAGTGGCCAACACAATACAGCCATCTTCTTACTTGCAGCTCTGCCTGTTAGCTAATGGAAATAAAATAGGATTTGGCTTTCAGGAGAAAAAAAAACCATCCTTCATATTCACAGACTTGTCTTTTTTTAAGTTTCATCCAACTCCCCACTTCCCTCAACTGCCCAGCAGAGTAGATGGGTGATAAACCAAGCTATTAGATATCTATGAAGCTTGCTTCATATATAAATATGATATTTCATCATATAAATATTTTCCTTCCTCATTGATTTGAAAAGTACTGGGAGAGAGCAGCAAACCCACAGCAAAGCTTTGAGTGACCTGACACCAAAGGGTCAGTCCAACTGCAGATGTACATAGCAGAACTTCATAGACTCCATAAATATAGAACAACACTGTCCTTTCAATTCTATGCTAATAAGACACTTCAACATGTTCCACAGTGACAACCTTAGAATTATCTTGTCTGCTATCACTCATTTTTTAACAAGGTTACTTTGGCATATAGCTTGGTTTCCATGCAAATGCATTGACTGATGACTTTTATTTCGTTTCCTTTCATAGGCTTCTCTATTAGTCACAGGCTATTTACATAATGTGATGGAAGTGGCACCTGTGTGGAGCTATTCTCTGTGCAGAAGTCATGTCATCCTCATACCTAGGGAGAATAACTTGTTAATTCATGTAGGCCTGTTATAGCCCTACTGTAACAGCTACATGAATTAGTTCTTCCAACCAAGAATGGCTACTAGAGTCAGAAGCAGCCCTCAAAGTTTGGGGTCCCTCTAAAAAGAATCACTTATACCCCCTTGCCAGCTCCATTTTTAGCTTGGGGACTTCTGCAGTGCTTACCTTCCTGAAGCCAGAACCACCCTGTTGGAGGTGGCTCAGAGAGGCACGGATTCCCCAGGCACACATGAGCTGTGCCTGCTGCTCAGCCTCCACCCCCACAAACCTTTAATTTCTATCTGGAAGCCATCTCAGGATTTGCCATCACTACTACTAGTAAAAACCAGCCCATGACTGTAGTCTGATCATATTCCCATGTAACCTCAAGCAGTTGGCCAACTGAAGCCATTTCATCCACATTATATTGATGGGCTGGGCTGAAGGGCTGGGTGTTGGTTTGGTGGGTTTTTTTAAAATAAATGCCACCACTGTTTTCTCACACCTGAGAAGTACATCTGGGCAAGAATAAAATGCAAGAAGTTTTGTGTGGACCAAAACAAGAAAGGAGATTCCAGAAGAGTCCTCATACTTTCTTCTACCTCTCAAGTGGCAACTGTCCCTTCTTGGATGTTCTTCAGCACAATTCTCTAGCTGCCACACTCTCCCCTTTCAAATAACTCTGCAGGAACTTCACAGCAACTATAGCCTTGCAGTTCTTACCTGTTTCTGTTGCCTCTGGGATGGATTCCACTGCTGAAGGAGCTTTCTTCAGCTGCCAAACAGCCTGGATTTTGGGGAAGGAGCTGAGCTTAATGGACTAGAACAGAGCCAAGCTAAATGCCCACTGGAGCTCAGACCCTGGAAGACTCAGGAAGATT